TTGATACATAATAAAATCAAAAATTGTTTGTTAAGTAAATGTCTAAAGTAAGCTATTGCTTTAATAAATTAAGAACCAAATAACTTCATATAAAAAAGATGGTTTTTATGTAAAATAATACATTCCAGCATTGGGGGGGGGCCTTTTCCAAAGCTAGGGATATAAGATATTTTAAAAGCGTCACTAGACTATTAATTATTGTGTTTAATTGAGAAATCTTCTTTTATACGCTTTTATTTTAGAGAAAAATCTAGCGATGATTAATGTTTTAATAAGTCTGTTCAAAGAGCCGTTTATAAGGCTTCTTATATATTCGATTTATTGTTAGCTTTTAATTGGATAATTATTTAGGTTCTTGAATTTTTCTCTCGCAGTTCTATAGATTTCCCTACAATTAGATTTTGGATTAGAACTGCATATCTTGCTGCTAAACTTGAAAATTTTTACTTATTTATAGTATTTTTTTTTGTTGATTTTTTTTCTAAACCTAGTTTTTATTACATTTAATTAAAATCAAAAGGAATTACTTCAACTTTGCCATATAAGTATTAAAAAAAAAAAAAAAAAAAAAATCAATATATTCATCAAAAGAAATAAGAAATTTAGATACGTCGAAGCGACGATTCTAGAATGCTCACCATCTTGAACAAGTGTACGTATTGCGAAGTTAAGTCTGAGCGTAGCAGTTGGTTGATCAATTCTTCATAGTCAATTATTATTTATTTTCGAATTATTATTTACTTTCTAAAGAAATGGCGCAGGAATTTTTAACAGGGTTTGCTGTCACATTTAAAAGTCGTTTTGTGGACCTAAGGAAAATATGTCTGAAGTTTTTCAATTAAATGACGAAGGAAAATGAGAAAGTGGGGATTACAGAGTATGCGTCGAGAATTCACATAATAATCGTCATGCAGTTTGAATAAACATCAAAGTTTGAAGAATTTCTCCCGAATTAGTCACAATTTCAAGCATTGGAGTAATGCGTTTTAGTTAGCGTGTTACAGATAATTTCCGTGATGGATGAACACACGGCCGATCACTGCGAAAATCAAACATCAAAAGACTATTAGCGAATAGCGAAAAATTTCTCAACGTGGATAGAAAGTTTACGACGTGCCGTGAAAGTTTAACATCATGACGTGCGATTGCACACAGAATGGGGAAAACAAAGTGTTTGAATTTTATTCGTGAGTGGAAAAGAAGACCTTATTCGACAACTAAAAAACTTTGATGATGAATCGAGACGTATAATGTAGAAAATTTGACGCATTCTATGCATCGAATATTGAGCAAAGAGGTTTCATACGATTAGTTACTAACGGAGTTGCTCTAGCTTGTAATATTATATCAGATCATTCAATAAGTCTCCGGTCGAACTGGCCGTCCTTTGGCAATTTTGTCATTCACATGCACTTGTAATGCTACATGCGATTCACTATTGTCCCTTTGTCCCAAATCAAGATATATAAGGATGCGCACGTCATAATCTTCCCAGTCGACTTTTGGCTTTGACTGATTGCTTTGGCCGTTTTGACTCTGGAGCATAGCGACAATCCCATGTTTAATCCATTGCCATATATCGCGTGGAAAAATTTTTCGCATTTTGTTTAAATGGCTCCAATAAGTTATTATTATTTTTGGTGAAAAGTTAGCAAACGCGATCTCCATTTTTTCCATGGATAAATGTTCATGTAAAATGTGGAATTGGCCGCCTATTGCTACGCATCGCCACTTTCAGTCCTCTGAAACGATTTTGTGCATAGCCTGAAACAACTGGCGAATTCGGGCGAGTAGAGCGTTCATGCACCATCGATGGTCATATTAGTAGCCAACTCAAAAAATTTATATTTTTGAGAGTCAAGCAAAGCCGTGACCAAGAGTCGAAAACACCGAGAGTAGTGTCACTAAAGCTGTTGAAATCTGTAAACTAATTATCAAAATGTCCTGGCTCACACATCCCCGATAGTTGGTGGTAGGCATAGTCGAAGGTGTTACGAATAAGATAGAAGAGATGCTTTAATCCGATTTCCTTAGAGGCGTATCAGTTAGTAATTGAACTATTTAACCAAATATAGATTCGCAGACTTAACACGAATTCAGTTGGGATGAGTTCGTTCTCAGACCATACCGTAAATGAGTTCGAACGCGTCATAAATGCGAGAAGTCCCAAATTCCTCACTTTATTCAGATGATAATTTTGACCTAATGGTGCCTGCTTTTTACATGGTAATCCTGCTTATTTTTAACAATCTAGATACAATATCTAATGCTTTATTTCAACGATTTTATAAACCATACAATATCTCAAACTATTTGTTTATTTAATTAAAGTTATTTAAGCATTTATAATGATTTCAGTTTTATCTATGGCTTATAAAGAAGTGCTTTCTTTTCTGTTTTTTTTTTTTTTTAAACTTATTTAACTCTTAAACCAAATGAACTTATGCGTATCGCTAAGAAACCCATTAAAAACTAATGTGCTAAAAAACTTAAGTATTGATATCTTTTTTAGTCAATGTTTAAGGCTTCTCGAGAATAGGAAAAAAGTTTTGCTACATGATTTATTAAAATTTGATTTATTATTCTTTCATATATACTTTTTAAATATCTGGGAAATTTATTGCTACAATAAAATCTTCAAGAGTTGAATATTTGAATATTCCTTAAAATTTTATTAATTCCCTAAGGTCTAGAAATTTAAGTTGTAGAATATTAAATATCGATTCTGCTATATTTTTATTTAATTTGATCTATTAGTTCTATTAAGCCGTCATAGTTAATTTTGTCTCGTCCCCTTCTCATTCGACCCTGAAGTCTTTATTTGGTTTTTTCTCTTTTGTGATATTTTGAAAGTTTTGCTAAAATTTTTAACTTGTATAGATTTTTGCTTGGTGCTTTTTTTTTTCTTGTTTTTTTGCTTTTCAAGTTTTTATATATCTTAAATATTTAATCATAAGGATGGAGGTGTATGATTTTCGAGTGCGGTATTTTACTATATAATTGCTTAATTGTCTAATAATAAAAAAAAAAAAAAAAAAAAAAAAAAAAAAAAAAACCTTGAAAATTTTGTTTTTATTCCGTTTTTCTTTGGACTTGATTTTTATTTTTTTGTAAAAATTTATTAATAAATCATTTCACAATAATAAATGTAAAATATATTTAGTTAATAATAAATATCGTATAGAATATCCACTTAGTTGTGGTCTTGAAAAAAAGAAATTATTGTTTTTCTCACAGAAAGCTTAATATTCCTCTTACGTTGGATTAATTAAAAGACGCTTAAAAGGACAAGAATTTTTCGTGTTTTTCTTTCTATTAATTATATTCTAAAGTGAAAATTGGAGAAAAAATTTAAAAACAGCTTTGTTATCATCAACAGATTTCTTTAGACACTTTATGACTACAGTGTTTAACCGAAGAAAGATGAATCAATATATTCGCTGTGGTGGAGATATTGTACACTCGTGCCATTAAGTAAACATTAATTGATTCTGTAATATATTAAGACTTTACAGAAGAACTTTGAACGATTAACGATTTTTCGAAAATCTTTTCCTTCAGCAAGCTATCTACATTTTTGTGACATGTTAAGATTTCATTAAAGACGAATCGATAATTTTACATCCTTACTGAGAAACCTCTTATCGACCTTTGGTTCGATTTCTTTGCTGAATTAACCTGCCTCGGTTTCTTCTCAGAAATAAATCACAAAGTGTTTGATTTTCCAGAAGAAGGTGCAACAGATACCATAATCTCACGAGAATTTGACAAGTAAGTAGAAATACTATATTGGTCTATCATTAAATAATATTCTCTACAGTTGCTTAAATACTTGCTACGGTTGTTCACGTGTTCATGTAAATGGTCGGATCCGTGGCATTTTCAACAGTGTTCGGTCTTTGGGCAATAATACATCGGTATACCAAATCTTGTGACATGTGGGCTGAACACAAGAAAACAAGACAGACTGATGGATAGATGGACAAGCTTAATTCGATTCAGAAAGTAAATATGAATCGATCGCTATAATAAAAAATGGGTTTATTTTAAGTCCTTCTGGACGTTGAATCACCACGTATGGTGTAGGGTGCAAAAATAGACAAACCATGTACAAATAAGCTACACACAACCATTTGAGACCAACTGACTATTAGTAGTAACCGTACAGTGTCCCATCCCACTTTTCTTTAGACCTTTCTTTAGACCAACCTTGCAAAACTCCTTGTTAATTGTTAGCGACAGGTCGATCGAAACGAACTGAACGTAGTGTCGAATTCGTTGCTTATAGGTAATAATATTTGGAAAGATTTTATTTTTGAAGGCTTTTAAAAGAAAATTCTACTTTTACAGATGTCCTCAAAGTATATCCAGAATGTAATATCAGTAAAACAATTATGGAGTGGCCAAGAATAAAATTTGTATGCAATTTTATATGACACTCATTCAAATTATTTATAAATTGCATCATTGACGATATTAAAGCGACCAACAATTATGTTAACGACCCCACATGAATCCTCTATTTTTTTTCTTTTTAAATAGAGCCCATAGCCTTAGCTTCTAAAGCTGACTTTATTTTAGTCTACGAATTTATTTCTTTGAGATAAGAAAAAATATAGTAATAATGCCTTGCTTCCGGGGTTAGATTATTTATCCAAGACGCTTCTAGAATTTTAAGAATGTAATCAACAGATTACGCTAAAGGTATAGGAGTTGATATTATTGTTTTTAGAGCGGGTTTTGTAACCATAATTCGCTGTCGATCGTTGGCTTGAAACAGTTGATTACTACAGTGAACGAATATTTTGATGGACAAACTAACCTGAGAGAGTTACTATCTTTAGCGAGGAGAACTTTCTGTAGCGCTTATGCGTAAAACATGCATTAGTGTCGCCTGCAGATGAAACTAAATTACATTTAAATAATTTTTTGCTTTGATTAACTAGCTATCGGCTTGGGTTTGTTGATGTCATACTAACGAGTAAAGTAGTTCACGAAAAGTTTAAGGGATCGAATGGTCGTGAAATATCATTCTTACCTTCGAAGAGATGGAAAAAATTTGAAAAGCTTTTAAAGTCTCAAGTAGAAGTGGATGTAAATTGTAATCAAATTGTAATTCGTAATCTAAGAAAGGAATTCAGGTATACCGCGCTCAAAATTATCTCATTCGCATCATTTTTTTTCTCTATTTATGATATTATATGTGTTTGTGTGAGAGTAAAAACTCAGTTTTTAAATTTTTTCTCCATATCTCCATAGCATACGTGTTTGTCATTTGTTCATTATACTCATTCACTACTTCCCTATATATATATATATATATGTAACCATAGTAACACATCTAGAAATTTTTGTCTAACTACAAATATCTTTATTTCAACTCTTCAATATTAGAATTAACTGTTTTATTTCTTGGGGGATTTTTTCTTTTTTCTCTTATTTTTGTTTAAGTGAATATTTTTTCCCCAATCTTTTTCATTCATTGCAAAAATTTATCATATCACATTTTTTCACTCCTTTGTGAACGCTTTTCCTGCTTTTCACCATTTTCTTTATCCTTTTCTTCATTGCCTGGTTCCGTAGGACTAATTGGGGACATTTCAACGCTGTCCAGCAGCGGTGTTTTCTCTTCACTGCAGCAACTACTGCATCCAGCTCCATCGTCCATTGAGAATATTTTAGCTAATTCTATGCCACTTAACGTACGCCTCGATGGCGATTCATCTGGAGAACTATTCTCTTCGCTGAGTGTTATGTTAACGCTATTTGGATTGCTATTATCACTGGTACTGGTGTCTGTGGTATTATCTAATGTTTTGAACACGGCATTGCGTGATTGCGAGCGTTTGGGAGATCTGGTGGTATCTAGTATTAAGAGTGGCGTAGAGGATGTGATCGGCTTCTGCAGAGACGACGAGGCGACGGCAGTACTAGATAATTGCGATAATTGTTGATTGATATTATAAGTGGAACCAGCTGGGCTAGTTGAATTTTGTTGGCAGGGTAATGTAGCCAAAGAGGTGGTCTTAATATTGGTCGTTTTTAGGCGATTAATCGAGCATGAACTCCAGCTAAGCTGGTTGGGGTGGGGTCGCTTTTTATAACTTTGTTTTGCATGTTGTTGTCCCATTTGTTGCTGTTCTTGATTATATTTGGCGTATTGGGTTTTGGATGGTTGCAATTGATAATGTCGTTGATGACGTTGTTGTTTATGATATTGAGACGACTGTGATGGTATTGCTTGTGCTGGTACATTCGCTTGACCACCACAAGCATTATTGTCATCGTTGAAGCTCATTTCATCTTCAGATAGACAGCAAGGATCGTTGCTGTTCAAAGGCATAGTATTATTAATGGCTGTCTGTTTGAGTGTGGTTAAGGTAACTAAATGACGTTCCGAGTACGATTTGCGAGTGTCCATAACGCGTAAATAGTCTGAAGAGTCCGCGAGATCTTCACTTTTTGAACTGCAATAACGTCGATTGTTAACTGATGAATTATTGCAGAAGCTAGTGGTAACAGTTATTTCGGGTCCGAGGGTTTGATTGGAACCCAAAATTTCATTAATAGAACCACCACGATTTAGAGATTGGCGGCTATGACTGCGACTACAATACGAGGACGAACTATCATAATGATTGTCGCGCAACGAAGATGGCGATAGACGCGCCGAGTGATTCGGAGAAGACTCTAAAAGAGAGTCGTTGGATTTGGCAATGCGATTTTTGCGATAGAATTTGCTGTCGCGCCATATAGTTTGACGACTGTTAGACGATCCCGAAGCTGTAGCTGGTCTTTGCATTTCCAGAGATATACCAGAACCGGCTAAAGTTGTGGAGGATCCTGGCGATGATGTAGTCACTTGACCTGGTGATATATCGTGCGGTATGACCTGACTGGAAGTTTTGCTTATACGAAATGAGGCGTGAGTAAGTTTTTTATACTTTTCGCTCTGGACATTAACGCGATTGTCAGAATGTGTCCTATCTGTTATCGGCATGAACGCATTATCTATTCGTCGCTCTTCTTCTAGCGATCGGAAAGCCAAACGATTGACATTTTTGAGGTGTTGCTTGTCCGAGCTAGAACTACGTTTGTTAGGCGACATGTCTTCAAAGGAGCTAACACGGTATTTTTGAGAGAAAACTTCGATAGTTCCGGAACGTTTGGATGGAGAAGTTGTATAAATAGAATTTTGATCATTTACTAGGATTTTCGGGGGGTCAAATTGTTGTTGTTGCTGCTGTTGTTGATTGCTGGTTGGCGCACAAGTGTTGGAGGATAAGCTGGAATTACTAGAATTAGTTGTTGCAGTGACCAGTATTTTAGGGGACAGCGATACTGGAAAATGTTGTGGTCTCAGATTGCCAGTAGAGCCTGACGAACTAGACGCACCCGAACACGAGCCTTCCTCAATATTTAGAAAATTGCTGGGCGAAGATTCGCGACAAGGCGATGATATGGCTGAATCTTGAGAAGCCATGCCACGTGGTAGCGTTGTCAATTCCAGGCAAGTTTCATGGCCCGCTGTAGTTGTTGCTATTATTATATCTTCTACACCTTCATCAATAGGCGAGGAGATTGATTGAAAACTACTAAGACGAAAGCTTGAAGATCCTGTGGACAAATCGTTGTCCGTTAAGGACCCAAAAGCAGAATCTTGTGAAGGATTACTGCGACCATACTTTAAACATTTTAGCGAGTACTCTAGACGTCTGCTTTTTGAATTTTTAAAATTACATATATCGGCTGTTAATTGATGGTTGAACGAGACTACGGCTGCTGTTAAGGCTGAGGGATGAGAGTTACCACTGGGCTGTGCGTTGGTTGAATTTAACCCGCCCAGAGTTAAATTTTCTTTAGGCTTAATATTCTCTTTTTCATTTTCTTCGATTCGGTCGACGATTAATGTTGTTGGTTGCTGTGATGATTGTGGTTGGTGTTGCTGTTGGGGAGGTATTTGTGGCACGTTTTCGGTTTCTTCATGTGAGATAATTGTAGTGGCAGTAATGCTACTTTCCGAAGAGCATATGCTATCCCCCATGCCCGCCGCACCTCCAGAGCCACTAAGTTTTAAATTCAAACTGCTTGAAGTACTTGAACTGCAACGTGTCATGGTCTGCTGTGGCTGTTGCTCTTGAATCACTTGAATCTGTTGAGACTGTTCTTGTTCGTGTTGCTTTTCTGTTCCTCGTTCTTTTTTAGGCTCTGTAGCCTCCTGGTAAACTGAAATATGATTATCCTCCAACTGAGTAGTATTGTCACAGTAGTGTATTGGTGATTCCATGGTATCGTAGGGTGACTTTTGGGCCAAGTATGGATAACTATGATGATGATGATGTTGGCTCGAGCTAGAAGCTCGTTTATGATGACTTTGTTGATGTTTCTGATAGATCTGCATACGTTGCAATTGTTGTTGATGATAATTACAACCGACGACAATTTCATCAAGTAGGCCTTCTTCTGAATCACTTGATATGCAATCAAAAGATTCCATTGTTCGGCTAATGCTGTTGTTTTTGTTTGGTAAAATTGAAGTAGAGTTAAAATAAAAACAACAAAAAGGACATGAATGCAATGAAGTGGAAGAGAAAGAATAGAAAAAAATATATGAACTTTATTTAGTAAAGAGTGTCAAGTGTGGCGAAAACAATTTTTTTTTTTTTTACTTTGACTTAACATATATTGTCATGTCTATGCATAATACAGAGTAATAATGTCAATGTTCGTGTATGTGCGTGTATTTAGAGGTGTTTATGAGGTAGTGATATGTCATCAGATGTCAGTAACGAAGAAAAGCTTGAACTATGCTTCACTTCTTAGGCACGAGATAATGCATTTTTGTGTTTTTCTTTTTTTCTTTGACGTGAACTCATTCATGTAGAAAAAAAACATGCAATTACAAAATGTTCTTATACATTTTAATATTGCTAGTGAGAGCGCATTTGCTTGAACGTTCTTCGAAATGCATAAGCGGCACGAATAGAGAGAAACAAAATTTTGATGATTTGGCTTTGTTTTATACGATTAGAATGGAGAAACATTTAATTATATGCTTTTTTTTTTTGATCATTTCTTTTCTCCTTTCGTAATAAATTAGCCACATTTAGGTGGAACATGCAAAACATAAATTAATTTGCAATCAGCAGTACATGCACATTACAGCTAAATAGCAAAATAACAAAAATTTTTACGGTCTTTTGAAACTTACACACAAGTGACTATTTAGCCATGCTTACCTATTACGTTAAGAATACAGTATTCGTTTATTTTCAAAATGGCTTAAGTCCATCCTTCAACAACCAAAAGTATTTTCAAAATGGCTTAAGCCCATTCTTCAAAAACAAAAATAAAGTCAACCTTAAAGTACGTCTCCAGTTCTCTTTACGCATGTTGAGATATCAAAAAAACATTTATTTTAAACAGTGAAATTTTTCTAATAACAAATCCGATTGCTTATAAACAAATTCTACAGAATTCTTTTCTTTTTTCGTAAAATCAATTTTCAATAAATGCGTAAGAAGACGACTAGGTCCAATTAAAATGGTTTGCTCCAGATTTAAGTGCGGATCCATTTGATGCGAACTGATGTGGTCGTTTGGAGAATTTGAAATTTTTCAGCTTTGTCTGCTTGGAACCGTTTGTCCGATTGCGACTTTTGGCTTCGATTTCAATGACTTGAAAATTTTGTTTTAAGTAAAAATTTTAACATAAACCCGAATGATCCGTTTTGTGCGGGAATATTCCCTAATATCCTTTATTGCAAGGGAATGTGTGCAAATTAATTTACTTTCATTTTCAGTGATCGATGTGCATTAGCAGTAGATTAGTGATGGAATTTAAAAATATTTTTTTGGCAAATAACGGTACAAAACAAGAAAAGATATTATAGGTCGTTATTTACTGTGAAGTTTGAGCAATGTTAGACACCGCTTTGCTTTGCGAAAGTAAGCAATGCGTTGTTTTTCGTCAGTGGACGAGAAAATTATAAAATTCAAAAAGTATCGAAAATGTTCAACAAGCGTTTGTTTTAGGGCAAGCGCAAGAGCGTATTGATTACCTGTACGAATGCTTCAAAAAAACAAATAAGAAAATTATATTTGATAGAACCCTTGGTACCTACCAATTCCAGATTGTGTATATAAAAGTACTAATACTAATCGAATGGCCAATGAGTACTATTTCTCCATTAACCGTCGTAATCAGCTCTGGAAGTCATTTATTTTATTAATATTATTATTCAGAAAAAACCATTGTTTATAACTTTTTGTTTTTAACTGATTTTTTCCATTGAAGGCGCGGTTACGGGTAAAATACGCTCACTTTCAAAACTGTTACGCCAAGTTAAAGATTTATATTTATGGGTTATATTTCCGGCCTTCTGACCGATCACTAATCATAAGCGAAAACAAAGTTCTCTTGTTATGATCTCTTAGATTTTCTCGTTTTTAATACTCGCAAGGAATAGCTAGAAAAAACTGTCCAATACGAATTTGTTTTATAAAACATAGTTATTAACTTAAGGAAAGCACAAACAAAAAGATGATTTGTGAGAACTCTGCGATGTTACTCCATCTTTGTAACCGCGAGCACTTCAATACCCCATAAGGAAAACACATACACTGAGATGGGCCAAGGTAACGCAACCAAGCTTATATATATTGTACAGAATATCCAACGAGTATATACAAAGGTATTACAAACGACAAAGAAAATTCAGTTTCTGCCTAACCTCCGATGGTTGGCTTTTATTCGTCGTAATACATATTGAGTAGCGTATCGCTCAATGAGTAGGATTATAAAATATATAGGGTGATAAACTATGCGTTTAGGGGAGCATAGATGCACCTCCTCGTGATGATCCCTGAAAACGGTCTCTACCGGCGAAGATGATTTTAAAGCTTCGACTGTCTATAACTTGGCGACAAGTTTTCTGAAAGATAGCTTAGGGGTTCACTGGAAGAAGCACTTTTTTCTCATATACTATTACTATGAAGGAAATACTAACCAAAAACCAGCTGTTAACTGTTTACTTAAAATACGTAGATGTAGTAATAATCGAGAGTATTGTACCGCCCGTCATGTCAGATGTAACACGCGATGCTAATATATCGCGAAGAAGGGTAGTCCTGTTCTGGCTAGCCGGGATTGTATGTTTAATACGAAGGCAAGAGAGACTATGTCGCGTAAAGTAAGGCTAAAGGCTTTATAGTCTAACTTTAAGCTCCACGTGGGCCAGGACCTCTTTCACTATGTGACGAATATCTGCGGGTAGAGGTGACAGCGTTGCTTTACTGCAGATTGGTGCTTGCCAAGATCCTTCGGCGAGAAGCTTGCATGCTTAAATACATGTGGAAACCGCGATGGAAGCATGTATGTCCAGTTGCCAGTTTGAACGCAGCAGTTAACCAATGTGTGAGTCCTGACTGCTGGATGCGGCCGTTCGGGGGATATCGTGACGGTTGCAGTTTCTATCATCCCAAAGCGAATAATTAGAGGTGATGATGGGACTCAACATTTACCAGAGTGGGTTTATTGAGCCATACACAATACACTTATCTCATATTCTCCATTGTAGTTTAGGCCCCTAGCACATAGCGCTTGTCTAACACTCTGGATGGCGCCGGTTACGCTAAATTGACTTGTGCGTGTCATCGGCCACCGTGGGGTTAAACCGACAATGTAGCGTACCAACATAAAACTTCTCAGGCATGATAGACAAATGAAGGATGACTACTGACGAATTCAAATGGTTTTCATATAGTACCAACTTTCAAACGGAATGTGTCAAAATTTCAAGACCAGTAGTTTACAAGTTACCGCTTCTTTAGTCGGCGGCTGTATCTATATGTCGAACTTATTGATGTATCACTTCACATATTAAGTTCGCAAGTTTTTAGGTTGGTGCCATATACATATTATATATGTGTATATAACGTATAAGGTATATCCTTGCATACATACGTATAGCATGATATACATATATTATATATAGGATATATTTGAAAAAAATATTTTATATATTTCGAATTTAAAATAAATGGACTTAAGCAATTTTGTAAATAAAGAACCCATATGTATAAAAAACTACATTTTTAACCATACAAATGCACTGGTAAGTGGGTGGATAAATGGTTATGGAGGTGGTTTGATATACATTATTAATTTCTTTGCTATAAGTGAATCGAAAACTTGCGGGTGGACATAGAGGGTTTTTGATAAAACAATATTAAAATGAGAAAGGAATTAAGAAAATGTGTTTATGACAAGGAAAGCCAAAAAGAGAGAAGAGGTAGATTGTATAGCCACACACACACACACAGTAGAAAAGATTTAAAGCAAAAAACGAAAAATGTTTAAAAACACAAAAACTTACCATACATTGTCTTAAGTAAATCTTTCAATTTATTTGATTACATTTTATTTTTGCTTAATTTAAACAAAATTATTATTCGATTATAGTGCTTTGTATTGTATTAGTTGTTGTAATATTTGTACCAATTTCATGAATTTCTTATTAGTACATACGAAAGACTTCATAGGGCGTCGGTATAACTCTGATGTATTGTTTTATTTATTATTTGGATTAATATATTCAAATAGAAAATGGAAACAAATATATGGAAAAAACACATTAAAAAAAAATTAAATTGTCTTAATAAAAAAAATAAAAAAAATTGGTTTAAAAATTCATAATAATTAAGTAAGAAAGCAATATTCGCTTGAGATCGAATTTTATATGCCCACCAATTAAAAATAATGTATGAAAATCATTTATCAAATAATGTTCCCTATTAAACAACTTGTTAAAATGGCTCAAGTTAACTTCATAATGTTGCCGCAGCAATAAGATGATGACAAGGAAGATCAGCAGCAGATATATTGAAACCGTACGTGACGGCGTTTGCTGGCTGGCAATCGAAGAGGCAATACAAGATTGGTTTGAGCTTTTTGTTTCTTTGGTTCTGCAATGATCGAAGAAATAAAATTAAATGAATATCGCACGCGATTAATTTTTCTTAACTAAGTTGACAACTATATGACAAAATTCTCAGTCTTATTCAGGCCAATGGTTTTGATTTTGGGAACTCATTAAGCGTTCATAAAAAGTTGATGGCGACTGGTATTGCTTCTTGTCGATAAATTATCGAATAAAGTGGACAATTTGCTTATGCGGTTTCCATAAGATGGCAGACTGAGCCACGCAGAGATTAGTAGACGCTTCGTGACGACGATTAAAGTTTTTCTTGATTCTTCGATACGCATTATCCATTTATTTACTTTTTTATTAGGTGTTAGAAACGGAATGGCAAGATTAATTTATTGGCGGGCATAGAAATGGTAACAAAAATGGCAGATATATGGCATTTAAAAAAATGTACAAAAAACTTTTTCGCTCTCAAAAAACCATAACAAAAAGTATTACTATAAATAAATAAATAATTAAGAGAGTAAGAAAGTTATATATAAGAGTGTGATTGAAAAGAAAAAGGTATATATAAAAACAAACATGCTACAGAGAAAAATTAACATCTTGAGGACGAATATTTTATCGCTGATTTCATAAGGAATACAAAATTTTTCATGATGTGTATGTATGTTGATGTCAAAAGTATGCTTATGAATAGATGACTATTATATAATAGAATAATCACAATAACATATGAAAGGCCAGCTGTCCAGTATACACAGTACACATTTAAAAGGGTTACGTATTGTAAAAGACTGTAACATGAAAGCTTTTTAGCATGGTTAGTATAACAGAGGTTTCTTGTATCTATGAAGTTATGATGGTAGTAATTTTCAACAGCTTTTTGTACATTTATTTTATTTATTTATTTTTTTTCGTACGTGTTCAAAGAAATTAAAAAAAAAAACAACTAATAATAAATATTGAATACTTTTATATACTTACCCAGCTCTGTGATCTCTGGGTGTTGAAGGTGGTGTGCAAGGTGAACTTGTCTCGCTTAATGAATTACCCAAAGACGCACATTGTCGTTTCTTTACCGCTTGCAGTAAATTTAAGGTGGAACGACTAAGGCTCGGCTTGATTGTCTTTTTCCAATAAGTAACAGACAAATTGTTTAAGATTTTTTTGATTAAAAAACAAATTTTCACTTACATTAAAGCAGGGACCACGTAACTCCCTTAGATCGATAGATCTAAATAAGTCACATAATACTAAATCCTCTACCGTTGGACATGCTCCATTCGGTGGCTCGAATATTAAACCCAGAACATCTAAAATCTAAAATTGACGGTTTCGTTTTTAATTGATACAGTTTTCTTCGTTTTGCTTGTTTCTTTGTTGTCACATGTTGTTTTACTTACTTGTGGATAATGTTCCATTTCCATTTCTAGCACCCTCATGGACGGTTTTGGCGTGGTCATCTCTTGACCCATACACATTTCATAAAGCAAATGACCAAAACATATAATATCGACATTCTCAATATCGGCCACAGAACGTGACCACATAATAGCGTTGATACGTGAGCTAAGTCCCAATAACCCGTTCTCTAAGCCAGATAATCTTAAATAGGAAAAAAGAGAGAGTTTAGAAAACAACGCGGAAGTCCATAAGAATCTCTGATGGTCTAAGATAAGAAATACGGTTATTATTATTTGGAAGTAACGTCCCTCAAGTTAAATGTTAAAATAGTTTATGTATTCTCTTGATCTGTCGGTCTCAATGCTTTACCTCGGGCTCACAAACTTAATGTTAGCATCCACAATGACAATATTTCTACGCTACGAAAACTGTAGAATCTCAATTTGTACGTGAATTGGGTTAAGCTCAGGTTCCTTCAGAGATGCTTTTCTTAAATTTTCTTCCTCAACTACTTGAAGTTTTGATTGCTAATCTACTTCGAAAGAATCACAACAGGAATACTTTTATATTAACACCAAGTATTTGTATTACTTTGGCGTTGATCTTTTGGCCTTTCATTGTCTGTGCACCCCTAAGTTGGAAAGCCTTACCGCCTTGCTAATAGTTGTACAGTCACAATAACAATAAATGAAGTGAAAAATCAAACATTTTATGTTTGACTTAATAAGATTCTGCTGGCAGTATTAAAGCCCCTTCGGTCACGACCGGTTTTACGAGTCACTTGGTATTTTATCTCCTTTTTATTTTTTGGAAATTAACTTAATACTACACAGTGTGTTCTGCACAAATCAAAACAAATAATCATCTGAGAAGAGGAGAAAAGAAAAATGGTCCAGACATAAGCCAAGTTCTTTCAAATCTTTTTCGAACATTGCCATTGCGCATCAGCGCTCCTAGAAACAGTTGTAGCTCGTTGCAATGCAGTACATTGTGAAAACACATTCGTGTAAAGACATTTTTTCTTTTCTTTTTTTTATTATAGGATCCATCACTCAGGGGATGTCTCCCCATTCTAGTAATAGGCAGACGAGTGGCAAGAAGTGCGGAAAGGAAAAGAGACGGTGAAGCCAGTGCAGCCTAGTGCACAATCAGTAAGTTCACCGACTGAGCCAGTCACGGGCCAGACAACGACCAAATGGTTTAGACTATGTCTTTAATTTCTTAAGGAATTTGGGTTTGTAGACGACGAATTTATGGGTTATTCGCATATACATTACTTTCCAAATAAGCCTAGAGGAAGAGACGCAAGGTTGTCAAATCAGATGACCTTGGTGAATAATTGACGGCGCAATTTATTGAAGTCATTCTTCTACCGCATTTAAATGATAATAAGTTGAACGTTTCCCGACTTATATAGCACGATGCACCACCTTGATGAAACTATAAGTCGCTTACATTCAATTCAGCTATAAGGAACTCGCCATCGTGGCACACTGACAATGTTCACCTTTTTATTGCAATTGCTTTAGTACGATCATTTGAAGGAAAAAGGAAAGTAGGAGAGTTGTATTATAATTTTTTATGCACACCCTTTTCATTGCTTTACTTATTCACAAATAAGGCTCAGTTACAATTCCCATCGGAATGTGGCGGTTAGTTTTGCACTGTCGGCGTGCTATTCGGCTGATTTGGTCCATTCTCAATATCAACGTCTATTTTCAATGTGGGCAAGAAATTCCATTGTTTCTGACAAATTAGAATATGATAGCTTCTTTTAGCGCCCAAGGGAATGCCGATCACAGAAATCACATGGACGAGCAGATGAACTTGCCTTGACCGATTCAGATTTTAACACTGATCTATATTTACAAATATATAGGCTCTTTAAAGTCTTCTTCTCGGTGTTGCAAATATTTTGACGAAATAAATACACTCTTATCTTCTGATGGCGGGTGTAAGATATGGATATGATTCCATAGAAATTCTACAAGCGTGCATTTTATGTAACCTTTTTATGGACTACTCCGGTTTGGACAGAAAAGGTAGATGTAGGCAGGCGGATGAAGTCATGCCTTGGTATGTTTACTGTGGCAACAAATATCAGACATCACGCATTACTTGACTGCTAAGGTTAGATCGTGCTTCGGTAGACACTCCAAACCTATGTAGGCTGTGAGACAAGTGCAGTTACTCGCCAAAACGTAGGCTGAGTAAAGGAATTGCTTTAGAATATCAATCAAGATGCTTGGAAAATCCGTTTACAGAGCAGGCAGAAACGTTGGACTTCTTTTTAGGGCGAACGCAAAGTACCTGCAACGACTTCCGAAATTTTTGTCAAGTTGCAAATGCTGGCTTCCTAGTAACTGTGTCCGAACAATGAACTATCGCTTCATTACATGGATATGTTTAAATTAATGACGCTGATCGAAAATGCACTTTAAAGTGTCTCTGAAGCTTCTCCCTGGGTTGCAATTGTTTTGGGAAAACGAGTATATGCTCATCCTCCGACGACAGATATAAAAAAGGTGCAACAATGCTATCGCCTAGCACTCACACAGTAACTTCCGAAACGGTACTTCCTAAGGGGTACTTCAAGTATAACTGAAGGCATTTGCTTTTCCCAAATTCGCGACAATTCGCGATTGCTCTCCATTGAGTAGATAGGGCACTTTATCAGGAAAGTTGATTTTCGCAGAAAAAGAAAACACGGCCTTTTTCATAAGAGGTTTGAATAAGCGAAATGGTATGGTATGTATTGAACGAACTCATGTCTACACATGGCATAGTTTTCATTTATTAATACATTTTAGAGTTCAGTTAAAAAACATTAATAAGCGGAACGACCTATATTACGGATGCTAGAAATGAAATGTGAGCGATGGTGGATATTAAAAGCGAAATTGACCTACAGAACAATGTCTTTCTTTCACTTTATTGCTTTATTATTTTACAGCTTCAGTCAAAGTGAGAAATCATTCCACTTTGTAATTGAATAAAATTATACTTTTTCCTTTCTTTTTTTTTCTGCTAAACATTACTGAGATAAGTAGCGCTAAGCAACAAAAAGGTGAAATGAAGGAGAAAGTTTACAGAATAATGTTTAAACTTTTTTCATTTCTTTCATGCTACATTGCGAGATAAACTTTTGACTGAAATAGAATTACTTTAAAAAACAGTCTCATATAGAGTTAATAAGTGTGCAGCAATTAGTTTATGCGGATAACTGATAAAGAAAAACTAATAGGAAATATTATATTCGGCGATGAAGGAATCTTTTACACCCACCATCTTTATCGTAAGAAAGCCTAAAAGTAGAACGAAACGACTAAATTCCCGTACATTGCAGTTTATGAGTATCCAGAAAGCGAAGGAGTTCCGGCAAAAGCTTTCAACATCTCATCGTTCACTTTTGCGAACGGCAGAATGCTTACCTCTGATACTGTAAAGATGGGCAGGCGGACAGAGCGACATGTCCAGGTGAATTTCGAATTAGATACCGCTCAAGAACATATATACTTTATGGAATGTATAAAGTTTCCTTTTGGTCTTTGCAAAGGTCCATTTTGCAGAGCATTTATAGGTTCGCCAATAGAATACGCCCGAAAATTTGCATTGTAGTGCTGCAGTGTGCTGCGGGGAGCAATAAGCAAAAACCCCAATCTTTTTTTGCTCTTGAAACAAAGATGTTCCCAGTTTATGCAGCACTGTAAATATGGCCCTCGACCGATTTGCGCCATTTTCTATACCAAACTGCGTCCAAACTGCACTTGCGATGCGTCTGCCAAATTTGAAAACGGGTCAGGATATTATTTATCATAGACGTTAGCAAGAGCGACAGGCAGACGGACACGTTTCAATCCACTCGGGATATTGATTAAGAATACAGATCTCCTTGGGGGATCTTTGAGGGTTCTTTTGGGTGTTCCAACCCGTGGTGGGTCCAAAAACCTAAGGAGAGTAGGAGGAGGGGTGAAATTTTTTATTTTTGGCCATCACATCATTCGAACGCTAATGTAGCTTTTTGCTTTATTGCTGCGATTCTTTCTTCGCGACCTAAAGTAAAATTATATAGTGAAGTATATATAATATATATATATATACATGTAGATGCATGAATTGCAAATAGTCATTATTCACTTGTTGAGATTTTGACTTATTTTCACTCTCTCACTGTTTGCAAACCCTTTGCAGAGGATGCGTTCTTTGTTATACCTAATTAGCTGCAATGGCTTATAATTTATTTTTGCTAAAAGTTTCCGTTACAATCTAAGCTACCAGCCCCTAACATTGTTTACTCTTTATTTAATGATGTCAAGAAGAAGAATTATGTCATTTTTTTTGCTTTTTGTACCCATCACCGAAGGACGTGTGGTGTATTCATTTGATCAAAACGTTTGCAAAGCCTAGATGGAAGCACAAGAGACTCCACATAATATATACATTCTTGATCAGGATTAAATTCTAAATCGATTTAAGCATCTCTGTGTGTCTGTTTGTTTGCCTGTCTGGCTCTGTAATCTGTATGGCCGATGTTGTAGCATTTGTGTACACAAATTGGAAAATTAAATTAATTCAATATTATAATGTATTAAAATTTAATAGTTTTCTCAATACCTTTATAACGCGCAGAAACAAGCTTCAAAAATTCTATAAAGTACACATATTCTTGGCCAGTTTCAAATCTCGAATGCATCTAAACGTTGGCGGAACTTTGTAGTATTTGTGGTAAACCCTCTCCCCTTAGCGAAAAGGGAATATATCGCCTTTAAATTTGCAAAAGAACTTGGAATTGACCCAAACTAGTCAAAGGACACGTCTATAAAGCCTCCATGCCTGTACGACAAAAACTTTTATTTTGAAAAAGAAAATAAACAGCTGCGCCCACTCCTTATTCTTTTGCTTCTTTTGTCTTTTTTAGCGTAACGGTGATGGGTATAAAAGATTCGATCCCTATCGAATCTAATTTTCTTACTTGTTGTTTAATGAAACCGCTGAAAATATCATATTTCATGTTTGCAGACTAAGGATAGTAGAAACAGATGAACTTTCACATTTCTTTTCTTCGTTTTTTTCTGGAGTTTTTAAGGTAAGTAAAAGGAGAAGTTTTTCACTTGTTGATCGAAATTACAATAGTTGAGTATTCTACTTCAACTTTCTTTTTTGCGATCTTGAGGGTTCCAACAATAGGATAAAAGTATGAATGATTGTTCCTATATCGACCGATGACCTTAAGTTGGATAAAAAAAGATATGCTTTATAAATTCTCTCACATATATTTCTAATTTCTCTTTGAATCCTGTCTGCAAGTGGTTTTCACAGCGTAAACTGAGAGAAAATAATTTAATTTATTTTTCACTTGTCCCAGCTCAACTAAGGGTTTGTCATAGCGTTCTAATACATATTGACTAGTATATTCAAGTCCGTGCTGGCGACAGTCTGCGAATGCATATACGTAAATAAATGTAACAAAGGGAACTGTTCGTTGGAAAGAGTTAAAAGGCGGACAAGGTGTACGATTAGATAAGTTACAGTATCTCATTTAACACAATTTACCTTTTTAGGCCTTAAGATACAAAAACTATCACTCGTTGTCATATAAAGACATTTTCGTTGTGAAAATTATTATAGGAGAAGTAATCAGAAAAACAGATTCATTTGCGTCAAATTTAATGCATCGAGATATTACTCTGAACTAGATGTAATCCCATACTATTAGAATGTAGACCATATTGCCGTAAAGACTTGTTCGTTGCAAGAGAATACATATTGGATATACTCCGAAGAGTATATCCATGGCGACTTTGGTCCATTTTTTTTTTTTTTTATATAACAGATTTTCAAGCAGATCTTTACACGACGAGGGACCATAAAAATGCTGCAAAATATGCTACAATCGGTCTTTTAAGTCAGAACTTGTCAGTACCCCAAACTATCCCCAACATTAAAGATTGGATGAGCAGAAATGCATGAGCAGAAATCAGATGGATCGACAGACGCAAAGACAAACGGAATTGATATAAGAAAACTGGAGTCTACATCAGTGAATAATGAATGTTGCGTATATATGCAGAAATTTAAATGGTGTGGGATATAGTTATGCAATTCATAGGGATTTCCTCTCTTTGGCGAAAATTCTATATAGTCTCCCATAATTCTTCGACGTGAACGTCAGGGACAATTTCCAGACGTTGTTTTGTTGAACTATACCCACATCATAGAACGGCATTTTGAATTTTTATTGCGGCTTAACTACATTATTATATACAAAGTGCTGCAATTATATGTCGAAAATCTAGATCTTCCATAATAGGAAAATTTCCTGCCGGTTTTTTCGATTCTTTCCACAGATTCCAAGTCCTGCGTTTCGCTAAGTTTAACGCTTTCCTATTTCTTGTGAACGGCGTGTAATGAATAGGTTAATCACCTTTTGCGCATAATCGAATTATTTTTCTCTTATATTCGGGAACCGCGTGTTTAAAATAAACTGACTTTACCGGATGCAAAGATGGTTTGATTGAAAGCAGGTTTTTAAAAAAAATCTAAAGCAAGGGATTCGTTATGGGTTAATCGCTGGGCTATTCAAAGAAACTAAAAGAAAAGGCGAGACGAATGAATAGCCAGCCCATCCTTTATTTTGAACCAAAAAAAAAAAAAAAAAAAAGAAATTCTGTAACCATTTTAATGTGTTCTTCCGGTGTAAAAAAGAAAGAAAAGAACATTTAACCTCTTTTATGCTACGATGCATTTTTTCTGTTGTTATTCTGTTGTTATTATGCATTTAACTAGTTCAGGCATAGCTAAGCAACAATTTTACTAAACAACAAGTTAAAACGTTGTAGTCGGGAAGAGGCGATTATTAAATGCTCTACATCACCTTGCATAATAAACTTCGACCCTTATACTATTTAAGTTTTTATTTACTTTTACTTTAATTAAAATTTCTCAGTTGCTTTTATGTTAAGCTATGACAGCTTCATCAAATGCGACCTTGTTGTCGTTTACTTTTAGGTTCAAAGAATCGAAAGATAGACCTATGTGGTCAAACCATAACATTGTAAAATTATTTGTTAAATTTCTTTTACTTTGTACTAATTATCGAACTGGCGCCTTAAAAACAATAAACGCTCTCTCTCTGCAAAGACACATTTCTTGTAAGAACATTGCATGCATGAGGGGCGCTTTAACAAATGGCCATTGGTAGACATCACGCAGAAAGTCGGTCAGATTGAAAAGCGTTTAGTTGGACAGAAAGTCAGATAGAATAGCAGTCTGCCAAATAAATAGACGCACAGATGGACGTACGGATAGTTGCACAGAGGGACAGACAGACTTAAACCGATTCAGAAAACTGTTCCCAATTTCTGCTGGTTTCGGGCACGTACGCATAAATCGTTACCACAATTGGCCGACAATATCACAAAAGTAGGGAAATTATAATCAGGTCGGATTGAGTTGTGACACGAAACTTTGACAATCTTACAAACATTGTTGTGTTATTTATCTTTTTACCACTTCGCCTTTTTAATAAGAGAAGTATTTTGAAATTTTCTTTCGAGATTACAAAAGATTTTGGCATAAGAAAATATCAAAATAACAGACGTGTAGGGAACTGGGAAACAAGTAAGTTGAGAGGAGATAAGTCAAATATATAATTTGAACTTGTGTTATTATTAAAAGCGTACTTTACCGAGTCTTTATAACCACGTCTGAAGGTTGCAGATGAATTGACGAAATTATTATATCTGAATCGTTGCTTGCTTAGATGTCGTAATAATAATCAAAAAAAAAAAGCATTTAAAGTGAAAACTGTTTTCTAAGAATTTTGTAAACCATATTTCCTCATCTTTTAATTTCTGATGTTTTCTACGTTTTCCTCAATTTGCTATAAAAGGAAAACGAATGCAAAAATTCTGAATTGAAAACTACGTATAATTGTTGATGGATGCGTCGTGTGCTTCTCCGTACATCACATTTGTAAAGAGGAAACGTTCAAGTGGATGTGTATGCAGTATACACGTACATCCTAAACGTTGACATTCTTTTTCATTTTCAAATAAAGTTTCTTCTACTTTTTTGTTGTTGTGCATAAGTACACCAAGGAACAGAAATAACAATATTCAAAAGAGATTTTATTATCCAGAAGCATAAAAAAAAAAAATTAAAGTTTAATTTTAATGTTAACTTTTGTGAATTCTTACCTGGCTGCGCCGTTTTGCAAAATCACATTTCCGCTATGCAAATGGCCATGCAATGGAAAACCCCGCTCTTTTAGGAACAGTAAGGCCTCCAAAATCTGTCGTCCTAAGCGTTGAACTTGCGTGACTGGCAATCCATTCGGTTTCCGTGTATACTTGCGTGACCAGGGTTCATTCCATTGAGCCTAAGCGTAAAGAGAGACAAAAACAAATTTGCCCTTAAGAGTTTTTTGCTTTTATAATTTTTTCATTTAAAAAATTTTTTTTATATATTTTTTTTTTACTAAAATGCAAAAAAGCAAAACTTATAACAAACGTAAAAGCATTTAAAACCACATGAGTAAGCAATAAAGATCTAAAGGTAGACATTAGTAATTATTTAAATTTTATTATGCTTTGGCCTTTAGTGTCCTTTATATGTATGTATGAATTCTTACCTTGAATATTAAGTCTTTCAGGCTACCTCTCGAATTGAAGGGAGTTACCAAGCAGGCATAATTACCCGAGGATGTATGCAAAAATCCCAAATCCAATACGGGATAAATGTATGGATGGTGCAGAGAACCCAAAAGTTCCATAAGCATTCCACGTGGATTTTCTGAAGGCGGTAAATCTTCAAAGGCCACACAGTCGGGAGGCAGAGACAACAAAGTTAATAAACGATCCGTACGCACCTGATATATTACAAAAATTCCGAATTCTTCGGTCAAGTTTTTATTAAATATTTCGCTTTACATTACCGTAGCATCTGTTACTAAGAACCAATGTTTCCCATGCCTTGAACCGATTTCATCTAAATGTGCTAGCACTTCGTAACGCCCATTTGAGTTTTGTATCCATTCTTGGGTGGCGTTGAGAGCCCGTTCACGCTGTGCCCGTTCCCTAGGTGAACGTTCCACAATACCATTACCACTATCTAAAGCCGAATATTGATATTTGATATTGGGTCTGCAATAATTCACAAGCAATAGCAACAAAAAATCATAAGTTGTAATTATATGTCGATATAGTCTCTATTTCTCTCTCTCTCTCTCTCTCTCTCTCTCTCTCTCTCTTTCTATTCTTTTTTCATTTTTTTTTTTTTTTAACTAGAAATAACGTAAATACTTTAATAACGTGATGGTTCGGGGGGGAATTAACTCTTACTACGTTTCTACATTAGCATTTAATCGTATGGCATTTTGAAAAAATTTAACAACAAACTAAGTACTCTCCGTTGTATCTATAATTGTTTTCTTTATTTTATTTTCATTTTAGATTTTTAGCACTTTACCCAAAACATATAGATCGCAACATATGGTATACAAAGGCGTACGTGTGATTGACGTCAGTCGGGAAATGAACAATGAAAACAGTGGTGTCTGTGTATGTGCTTAAATATATGTACATAGTTATATGCACATATATGTATATTATATTTTTTTATTTTTGCTTTTTTTATTTGTACGAATGTCACAATTTTTGTTTGTTAATGTTTCATTTAAGTGTAATAAGGATAATGACAAGAACACTTGTGTCAATGTTTTGTTTGCCGTTCTTTTCTCGCATAACGCAGCCTTATTCAAGACAGATAATGACGATTGCGACTAGATTTGCCGCCTGTTTTTCTTGTTCCTTTTTTTATTTATTTATTTATTTTTACATATTAAAATAAATGAAAACAATGTGTATGTATGTATATGGAAAAATGACTGTCGCCATAAATGAATATGAATTAGACAATTAGTAAAAGTGTCATATTTTTTTTTTCTTGTTTGTAATTAACACTCTCTGCGCGGTGATTATAAAATACAGTACAACCTACTCATGTCAATGAGTTTTCATTACATTTTAATTCATTGCAATGTTATTGAAGCATTTTTATTCTGATTTTACACGTTTCATATCCACCCGACTTACTAAAGGATGAGATTACAAATACTCTTCACTTAGTGTAGAAAATGCAAATACAGCGGCGACGAGCTACACTCATGACTTATGAGACATTGTGAACATATTTAATAAAATCTCTCTGTCCCATGATATTAGAAGGTCGAAATTTTTAGATCAGCCAACGGACTTTCATAAATCGAGTTTAATAACAAAGTCAGGCAATTGAAGCTAATTCGAAAAAGAAGTTAAAAAATTCAAAAATTTACACCAAATCTACGAACTGCCGCAAGCGTCGATCTGAGATTAGTTTCACGTACTCATTAAAAGTTGGATATTAAGAAAACATCGTTATCGCTGTCTCCCTAACTATCAGCAGGAAATTTTTTTCAGTTAATGGGAAAGTATCTCTTGCCTGCAGTTTAATTGAATTTTTTTTTTATTGTCGTTTCTTCGAATTGGAGCAAATAAAAGAGATTATATTCGCTTCAGGAAAAATGTTGGTTATGCCGCGCAGCAATTACCGCGGGGATATTTTCTCAATTGTGAAACAATCGTATCAGTTGTTACATTTATTTATGTATGTATGTGTGTATGTGCTGTGGCTTGTTATTAAGAAAAAAATTTCACTTATGCTTACGAAGGGAAGAAGCCGCTTTTCATGTGTTTCCTTGCATCAATTAAGAACTCTTTACATCAATTTTCAAATTAAAACGACGATGAACGGAAAAACTTTCAGCGACATTCAAAATTCTGCTGTTGATCGAGTATATTCATGATTTGTGGATATACTAAATATGTACATATGAAACTGGAATTTTTGTATAGTAAACAGACTTTTATTGCATGTAAACGATAAAAATATATTTTATTCGAATTATTAAGCACCGCTGTCTGTGCGTTTTGCAATATGTGTTTGTGTTACGATTGTAGTAAGGTATTTGACGCTAGACGCATAAACTTTAAAAAAACGCAAGACATATATATCCCCTATATGTAGCGTTAGAACTATGGGGAAATTCCGGTTTCAAATTTACATAGCTGATAAAACACAGAAAAATTTTCTAGCACTTAAGTAAAAAAAAGTATCAGTAGATCGATATATCTGTATATCGAATCTATTAAATTTTTTAAAAATACTTTTGAATATAATTTGGTAATATTTCGTTTTTTGTTTTTTTAAAACAACAAAATTCTAATTTGCTTCATTAATCCGTAAGGAAAGACAGATCAGATATATTTACATAAATATATAAAATTATTTTTTTGTTATTTAAAAAATAAATAAATGGAACGGACCAAGTTCGAAGAAGATAAAATAAATTTGCGTGAGTGAGTAAGTATGCGGTTTTATTTCGAAATTCCCCTTAATTTTTGAACATAATTTTGTGTATTTTCGAACAAAGAAATGGAACAAAGTTAGAAAAAGATCATACTAATCTTCAGCACTCCCACAGCGACCAAGTGTTACTTTTACTCCTACAGCGACACGGTGTGACTGTTATTCTTACTCCACTAAATACTATATGCACATAGAGTCGGCATTACATTTTTTGGGATTATGATTTATGATGAGTTAGTAGTATCTAAAAACAAAGAAAAAGGAGCGCAATGGGTTAATTGTGTCTTCCGTTTGTTTTATATGATTTCTGTATAAACAGACAACAATTAATCGCTCCTCGTCCCCATATCCTTTCGTAACTCAGAATAACTAAACTCAATTTTTATCTTCCCTACTCCTAATTTACAAAATGGATGGATGTGTTACATACATAAATAGTAATATGTAACACGTACAATAATATACATATAAAAACGTTCAGATCGGTGATTTAAAAGAAACAATCGCATTTCGGAGTAAAATGTCCTCATAAGGCCGCTTGACTTGGCGAGTCAGAAACTTAGAACAGTTGCGCTAAAGAAAAAGTTTAATTACGTTCATGGCGAAACAATAAGAAAAAAAATAAAACACTTTTTTTCTGAATAACTATTGCAATTGCTGTTGGCTAGCATGCAGTATACGAAAGCTATCTAATATTCGAAAAGGAAGTGCAACGGTAAACCACTAGAGGTTGCTCAAATACTTCGCCAATCTATTATATGTGTTTTACTTTAATAATTTGGAATTGAAATTCTAGTTTGTTTTGGCCGAAAACATTCAGACTATAGTGTTAAGGGTATAATGTTGTCCTGAAATCGATGCTGAAACATTACAGGCCATGAGCTAAAGCAATCCAAAGTTACATTGTTTACTCGTCTCGTTAACTTTGTCGTTTCGTTTAACGAACGCCTGGTGAAAGTTTAATTCCAATTACATTTGTGTATATTGTGTATAGGGATTTAGAAATAAACGCCAAATGTTTACATGTTTTTACGCATCAAGTACAGTTTCATTTTAGTATCAATTAATAATTACTTATCGTAAATTATTAATATCGACAAATTTCGGTTTGTTAAGTTTAATTGCTTTGCTCTGTCATTATACAGGGAAGAGCGCTCAAACACACACATACCAATAAATGGCTATGTTACCCAAAACTAAATTTATTTTCAATAGATATCGAATTCGTATGCATTTTGTATACGTGTACGTGTATTAGGTTGAAAATCAAAACACTTCCAAGTTTATTATTATGGCTTAGAGTTTAAACATTTGCATACACAGCATAATAATGTTAGTGAACACTTTCTTTACGCAATAAAAGTAAGTAAGTACGTAAGTATTCATGTGCATGTGCTAAATATTCATATACATATTTGTCTTCTCAATACTAAACACTTGCTAAATGTAGATAAATATGCACTCGAGTGTGCTATTATTGTAGGTATTTGCACATATTTACATTTGTGTATACAAATTTAATGTCAGGAATTGAAATATTTTTGTTTCACGTCCTAATCTAAAGTACTGTAACTTGTTACAAAAAAAACACAAAAAACACAAAACATTGAATAAACAACCGGATCCGAAGAAATAAATTCCTAATAAAAGCACAGCGGAAACGGAAGATGACATGAGATGTATAGACAAATATTATCGCTTTCAGTTGTTTATTTTCATTGCATTGTATAACGCATTTTTGTTTTGTTTTCATTTTTAAAAATTAAAATTCAATTTTTAGGTTTTTTTTTTTTTTAAGAGAAAAATTACATAAATAAAATAGTAACTCGTTATATCAACTTTATTACAATAACTTTAAAAAAAAAAATTAAATAAATTTAAGTGTATTTAAAGTGTTTTTTTTTTTTTAAAGTCTTTTCATTTTTATTATTTTCTAAAAGATCTATTAGTTGATTAATTCTCATTTTAATATTTTTTGCTGTGTATGCATGTGCTTTTCTAGAGTATGCGAATGTGTGTGGGTGTATGTGTGCATTAAAGGCAGAAAAAGAAAAGCAATTAAGTAAATAACATTTCTTTATATATATATATATATGCTTTATATATATAGTATAAAAATACAGAAATTAATTGAGAAAATAGTTTTTTTGGTTCATATTCGATAATATTAAATAAAGTTAGTATTTATTATATGTGTGCAAATAAAGTACGTAAATATTTCCTTCTTGCGGTCAAAATGCAAATTTCTGCATTAGAATCAATCAAGTTTTCTCTTTAGAAAATATTTATCTTTTCTTTTTTTTCTCAATCCAAATTTCCATACATTTGCACAAGATATCACCGTTGGTTGGTTGTTTGCTCACATCCTTTCTTAGAACGCAACGCAAATGGTTTGTCATAAAGGAATTTTCGCGACTGATAGTAAGCAAAGGTTTTATTGCAATTGCGTTTGTAATGTTACCAAAAATATTTTTTATAATCCGATAAGAATGCGGTAAGCGATAAGAAGAGTACAGCTTCACGAAATCATTTAAGCATTTATAATCCATAGAAGGCAAACGAAAATTTAGTCATTGCCTCGGCTTAATTTTTTTACAAGTAAGAAAATTATATACGCTTTGAAAGATATCTTGCAGATTCAGCCAAAGGAAGCATAATATAATTTACAGTAATTAGAAAGAAAGTCTTTTAATAAACCGTAGTGTAGCACGATCAAAGGTAGAGGTTTTTCTAATTT